ACCTTAGCAATTCGCGCAACCTAAGAACAGACATTAAAACCGAGGTCACCCAGGCTATAGAAAGGCTTTACCAGCTAGTTAAAGAGGCGGAGACAGGGAAGAACGTAGGAAAAGAGAGTAAATTAAAGGAGCAGGAGAAAATAGAGGAGAAAAGGGATAATGAATTTGAAAGAAATAAATTAGAACAACATAATAAACTAATAAATAAGTTAGAAGAACATGGAAAACTTTTGGCAGAAAATAGCAAAGAGATTGGAAAATTAAGGGAAGAAATGAAAAAGCAAGAAAATAAAGAAGAAAAAGCAACATACGCAAATATACTAGCTGGGAAACCGAAAAGATCATTACCAGACAATATGACCATGCATTCGTTGGCAATAACGTCAACAGACGAAATGGAGACAGGAGATCAGGTGATAGAGAAGTTAAGAAAGGTAATAAATGCCAAAGAGGACGGACTCAAAATAGATAGAATTAGGAAAGCAAGGGACAGAAAAGTAATAGTAGGATGCTGTACCCAGGGAGAGATAAATAAAGTTAAGGAAAGCTTAAAAAAGGCAAGTCAACACTTAAATGTAGACGAAATAAAAAATAAGGACCCGCTTGTAATTCTTAAAGATGTGTTACAATATAACTCGGAGGAAGAGATCATAAAAGCAATCAGGGTCCAAAACAAACAACTCTTTAAAGACCTGGAAGAAAATGAAAGCCGAATGGAGATGAAATATAAGAAAAAGACCAGAAATCCGCACACGTCCCACATAGTGATGAGAGTCTCACCACAGCTTTGGAATCGTCTCACAGAAGTTGGAGTAATTCATATTGATCTTCAACGAGTGAGGGTAGAAGATCAATCCCCACTCATCCAATGTTCACGGTGCTTAGGATACGGGCACACCAAGCGCCTGTGCAATGAGACGACAGAAGTCTGCAGCCACTGTGGAGGCCCACACCTCAGGACGGAGTGCACCAACTGGCTTTCCGGAGAAGTACCATCATGCAGAAACTGCATAAAAGCCAAAATGGATAAAAAAGAACATAACGCGTTCAGTTCAGACTGCCCGGTAAGAAGGAGATGGGAGACCTTGGCAAGATCCACCGTGGCTTATTGCTAAGGTGGTCCTAGGGTCTGGCATAAACTTCGACGCGGGCAACCACCGGTATCACGCGATGCAGGCAAACCTCCAGAGATCCGAGTTAGCTACGGCAGAGTTGATCACCGAAGCGACCTGGAAAAAAATATCTTTTGCACTGATCCAGGAGCCCTACATTGGAAGTATTGGGGAGATGAAGCAATATCCAGGGACACGAATAATACAATGTCACCGAGAACCCAACACTGAAAAGGTCATTAAGGCAGCCATTGTATTGTTCGACGACACCATTAACGTAACCCAGTGTCCTAGTCTAACAACGGAAAACATCGCGGTTGCTAAATTGAGGACAGGGACCTGGGAGATGGGAGTGGTGTCAGTTTATCTGGAATGCGACAAACCAATCGACCCATACATGAACACGATTGGGAAAGCCGTGGAATCTCTGGGGACTGTTAACGTGATACTTGGCGGAGACGTGAACGCGTGGAACACCTGGTGGGGAAGCCGGGAGGTGGACAGTAGAGGGATAGATGTTGCTGCAAAACTGGACGAACTGGAGCTCCATATACTCAACCGGGGAACTGAACCCACTTTTGACACCATCAGAGGTGGAAAAAGGTTCTCTAGTTGTGTGGATATAACTACCTGTTCGACGAGCCTACTTGGGAGGGTAGATAACTGGAGACTATCTGAAGAAATCACGAGTTCGGATCACAGGGCAATCCTGTTCGACATAAAATTAGAAAAATCAGTAGGCACAGATGTAAATAGAACAACCAGAAAATATAATACAAAAAAGGCAAACTGGAGTGAGCTTCGTGGGAAACTCCTCCAGGTTTGGAGCAGTAAACCGATAAACAAAATAGAAATAGATAAAATAGAAACAATAGAGGAGTTGGAAATAAAAATAGAAGAGGTCACGGAAACAATAATAGAAACATGCGAAAAATACATACCCAAATTAAAAAACAAAAAACGAACGGGATTGCCTTGGTGGACCGAAGAGCTAAAACAGCGTAAAAAGGAAGTCTCCAGACTAAAGCGTCGTATATCATGTGCAGCACCAGTTCGTCGAGAGTGGGTGGTGCAGCAATATCTTGATGTAAAGGAAAAATACCAACAGGAGGTAAAAAGGGCCCAAACTTCCAGCTGGAAGAACTTCTGCAGCAAGCAAGAGCGCGAGTCAATGTGGGACAGCATCTACAGGGTGATAGGCCATACATCGCAGAGACAAGAGGATATTCCCCTTGTCCTGAACGGAAAAACTTTAGGAAATATGGAATCTGCAAAGACCTTGGCGAAGACGTTCTATCCAGAAGACGATACACAGGATGATGATGAAGGACACAGATTAATGAGAGAAGCAGCGAGTGTAGTAAATGCACGGTCGCATGATAACTCATGCGATCCACCTTTTACGATAGGAGAGTTAATGTGGTCTGTGTCCAGTTTTAACCACAAAAAGGCACCAGGTGGTGATGGTCTTACGGTCGACATATGCAGAGAAGCCATTATCCTGGATCCTACACTGTTTTTGGCGCTGTTTAATAAATGCCTCAGTTTGTCCCACTTTCCCAAAATATGGAAAGAGGCAGTAGTAGTGGTGCTGCGGAAGCCTGGCAAAGACAATTATACACATCCCAAGTCCTATAGGCCAATTGGACTGCTACCAGTACTTGGAAAAATTTTTGAAAAAATATTAGTGCAGAGAATTAAATGGCACATTCTACCTAATATTAGCCGCAAACAATACGGTTTCATGCCACAGCGCGGTACCGAGGACTCCCTCTATGACATGATGCAACACATAAAATTTAAACTTAAAAATAAAGAACTGATCGTAATCGTATCCTTGGACATAGAGGGAGCCTTCGATAACGCCTGGTGGCCGGTAATAAAATGCAGACTGGCAGAGACGGGGTGCCCGAAAAACTTAAGATGCCTCGTAGATAGTTACTTTAAAGATAGGACAGTCAGCATCAGATACAGTGGGGTAGAATGGGTACAAAATACCACAAAGGGATGTGTTCAAGGGTCAATAGGGGGTCCTATTTTTTGGAATGTGCTACTTGACCCATTACTAAAGGAATTAGGTGATAAAGGGGAATACTGCCAGGCTTTCGCAGATGATGTCGTCCTGATCTTCTCCGGGGACAAGGCATCGGAAGTGCAGGATCGGGCCAACGCAGCACTCGCACATGTCCAGAAGTGGGGAGTCAGAAACAAGCTTAAATTTGCTCCGCATAAAACTAAAGCAATGGTGATTACCAACAAAATTAAGTATGACTCACCACTTCTGAAGATGGGCGGGGAAGACATAGCGTTGACCAAAGAAATTAAAATCTTGGGGCTTACGATCGATAATAAATTGACCTACAACACACATGTAAAAAACGTGTGTCGTAAGGCGCAGGATCTCTATTACCAGCTGTCGAGAGCAGCTAGGATTAGTTGGGGCCTAAACCCCGAGATCATCAGGACAATCTACGTTGCGGTGACGGAGCCGATTATCATGTATGCGGCAAGTGTATGGGCACCGGCAACATACAAACGGGAAATTAAAAAGCAGCTCGACATGGTACAACGCGGGTTCGTTCAGAAAATTGTCAAATCCTATAAAACCGTATCTCTACACTCGGCTCTGCTACTTGCCGGGCTGCTTCCCTTGGACCTAAGGGTACGGGAAGCAGCCTTGCTTTATGAAATAAGGAAAGGCTTTTCCCGGCAAGTGGTAGGGGACCGGGACGTGGAAAGGAAAATAGATTTCTTTAAAATACCTCACCCCGCGAATGAAGTTGGGCTGCAATTTACATGCCTGGAGGACTGTGCACAAATTGACCAATACGACAACAAAAGCTTAAAAATATTCACAGATGGAAGCAAAATAGAGGGGAAAGTCGGCGCTGCGTTATCTATTTGGAATGACGTAGCGGAAACAAGTACCCGAAAGATAAAATTGGAAAATTTCTGCACAGTCTACCAGGCAGAGCTGCTGGCAATACTTGAGGCAACAAACCACGCGCTTAAAGACCAGGCAAAGAGTTGTAACATACTGGGTGTCCCAAAAATATCACGTCAGAGTGACATGGAAGATAGGTTAGCTTTAGGTCTTGCAGATAAAGAAAAATGACCTTAGTAAAAGTATTTTAGTTTTTGAGATATCGTCAATTGTTTTATTTTCTCAAAAATCTCTACTTTAAGTTAGTGTTTCTACCGTTGTCGTGAGAAATACCTTGGAAATTGTTGGTTTTTATATTTTTGTAATTTTCGAACAGTTGTTCCATGCGTTGAAAGTAAATTTCTCCCAAAATCTAGTGTATTTTTTAATAAAATAAAATGATTTGTGTTACTTTTTAACCTTTGACAAAATTGAACTCCAACTTTGATGACCTACCCTGAAAAAAAAATGTACTGACGTAAACTGGAAAATAATTTGAAAAACTGCTCCAATTACTGCAAATTCAGAAAAGGTATAACACTTATATCAACTATTTAAAAAAATGTCAAAATTACTATTTTTATTATTAAGGGTAGCGCTCTCAGCGGGAAGCTGTAATTTGTTATTGAATAAGAATTCTGTTTTCAAAAGCAATGAAAAGGAATGTTGTTTAGTTATTGTGTTTAGCATCCCATCAACCAGTTCTCCGGTCATAAACTGAGCGAGATAGCTGTGAATAGAGGGAGAACAGTGCTATCTCAGTCTCGCACAGGTAGCTTCGGACTTCGGTGGTTGATTTTGTTTTTAGTACGTTATTTTCAGTTTTTTGTGATACTCGTGCGATTTTGTGCACCTTTCGTTATTTTTAATATTTTTGACTACTCGGCGTTTATTAATTGGACTTTGATTTGCTTACTACTCGGACTGTTGTTGGACTGATTGATTTTGTTGTGAAAGTTCTAATAATGGAAAATCCACGAAGAGGCGCTGTTAGTCGCTTTACACATCGTGAGTACGCTGACATGTACTTGATTTACGGCGAAACCAGGAAAGTTTCTACTCGAGGCATAGTCTCATTAAACGCAAGGTTGGCTGCAAGATTGTACGCGGAACGGTATCCAGACCGTAGACATCCGACGTATGAGGTGATTGAACGATTGGATTCTGCCTATAGGGAGGGCCCCCCTATAGGCAGAATACCTGGAACTCGAGGTTCTCAATCTGGGAGACCGCGAACAATCGAGGATGACGTCGTGCTACAGGATTGCGAAGAGGATCCCTCGACTTCGGTTCGTATGATACAAAGCCGCACTGGAATACCGAAATCATCGGTTCATCGTATTTTAAAAAAAAGGTATCAATTTCACCCATACCACATTCAAAGAGTGCAAACTCTCCTTGAGGGTGATTATGTAAAACGAGTGATGTTTTGCCGACGAATGCTGGAACTAAATAGGCAAGATCCCGACTTTTCTCATTAA